TTGTTTGTGCAGACCGCATTAGATTCGATTAATTATGCACAGAGAGACAGTTTTAGGCAAATTACGGTGTTTTCTCAAGGAATAAAGAACAGTTGAATGCATCCCTATGAAAGGTTTGACTTCTCGGGGCTGAAATTAAAGTTCTTCGGGACCTAATTTTCTGAGGACGATTCTTCCAGACAACGGTAAAACACATAAGAAAGCAGAAATCTCGTAGTCTTCAAAAATGTCTTCGCCCTCCCCACAAAGTTTTTGAAGGAAGTTATTATTGCTGAAAGCTCAAAAACTCGCATGTGCTGCTCAAAAACCTATGGGAACAAAATGTTCGAACGTGTGATTTTCTCGGAAAATGGATTTTGAAAAACGGTTTGGTGCTTGTCAGAAAGAGCAAATCCTGCACTTTCACCCATGAAAAAGTGCATCTCAGAAGTGAAAATGAAGTGAGTTATGCCCGCTTAAAGCCCAAAAACTCGCGATTTCAAAAAAAGTGTTCGGCAAAACCCCCCAAAATGTTCGAACGTGTGATTTTCTCGAAAAATGAACTTTGAAAAACGGTTTGGGGCTTGTTAGAAAGAGCAAATCCTGTACTTTCACCCCATGAAAAAAGTGCATCACAGAAATGAAAATGAAGTGAGTTATGGTCGCTGAAAGCCCAAAAACTCGCTTTTGCACGAAAAATGTTCGAACGGGACAATTTTTTGAAAAAGGGGACAATCACTAAACTTTTTATACTGTTTTGTTAGAGAAATATTTGAAGTTTCTGAAACTTTTTACAGATTTCCAAAATGTCGCATACGAAAGATTTTATGGGCCTTCAAAGTTGAAGGTGCGCCTTCTTAGAATTTTGGGTTTTCCACTTCTAACAGAAGTACTTTCCGGAGAGTTAGGCAATCCTTGTAGTTTTCTGAAAGCGCACCTCAGGCACAATCAAAATCTACCTCAACAAGTCAAAAAAAATGCGTCAAGAAAGTTAACTCCCCTCTAAAAAAATCTACCTCATCAAGTCAAAAAAGTACGTCCCAAGAAAGTTATTCCCCTCTAAAATTTTTTCTTCGCCGCGTCCCGTTCTTCCAGCGCCCGGGTGATACCTGCCGCGCTCCAAGGCTGACGCCGCAACGCAGACGCTTTCTGCGGCGGCGGCGCAGACGCTTTCTGGCGCAACGGATTCATGTCTAGCACTCTTATTAACAAAAACAGGGGGTCGCAACTGGACCCCCTCGAGAGCTAGGGGGTCGCAAAAATCCCGAAAATGTTCGAACGTGACGGTTGACCCTGGTGAGAACCGCTTTCGGGTGCAATACAGGTAGGAAGGGCACGCCAACTTATGATGTGAGTACGGTAATGTATATACGTGGGGACTGCTGCTCAGTGCTGTGGGGTCAGGAGAATCGAGGGGATTCGTGAGCCAGAGGGAGTGTGGCCTATTCAGGGGGAAGAGGTGGAATGGGCAACATGACATCCGTGAAAGCTGAAATGTGTGGACTACTCTTCATAGCCTCTCGTTCTACGTTCAAAGCAGCGGCCAGATTCTTACGTACATACACTGACCGACCGTATCAGAAAAATTCGGCGTGCCCGTCAACAACTTCGTATTGCAGCCCACTTTATATTTGTTGCCATGCTTGATTTACACGGTTGAGAGTTCCATTGGCTGGCCGCTTCGAGTAGATTTTTTTTTCAACCCCACGTAAATAAAGGTTGCGGTTTCCTTGATTATCGATGGATATTGATGCCTACCTAAGTGTGAATGTCTTACTAGGACACGAATTGAAGAGGACATGCGTGAAAATCATCCATACTTCGATCGCCCGTTGTTCCTCATTGGAAGAGCGTCTCGATTACGAGAATTCTGCAAAAAAGTGAGTGACTAAGAAATTTGAAAATTATTTCGCATATTTATTCAACATTTAGCAGTTTTTGATTGGCTTACAGTTGCTTTGATTTCAATGCATACCCTCTGTTCTGCTAATGCGGGGGGGGGGTTCGACTTCCCACATATAGGGCGATGTCATAGTTTGCGAATCGAACGTTGCGCCAGCGAATCGAACGATGTACCAGCGAGTCGAACTAGGTACCAGCGACTCAATAGTGGCGGGACCCAACGTTTAAAGGAAGCCCGCCACTTTCAAACAGCGTCCACTGTCACGTGACACTGTTTGAAAGTGGCGGGCTTCCTTTAAACGTTGGGTCCCGCCACTATTGAGTCGCTGGTACCTAGTTCGACTCGCTGGTACATCGTTCGACTCGCTGGCGCAAAGTTCGATTCGCTGGTGCAACGTTCGATTCGCTGGCGCAACGCTCGGATCGAGCGATTCGCTAGCGAATCGCTCGATTCGCAAACTATGACATCGGCCTAAGCGTACCTAAGTGGTCAATGTGCCAGCTGAGTACGCCGTCGCGATAGAAATGAATTGCTGTCCGTTCGCGCAAATACTACGGTATAAGCTGTCAGTCACCCGGGAAGAAGATGACCACGAGGCTAGGTGACATTCATTGAAAGCTACAAACCACAATGAGCAGTACAGATACGACAATGAGATTCAGGGACGATCACTCACATACACATGCGCGAATCCTAACGCGTAAGTCGAAGCTTAAATTGAGTCTGGAATGCCGTATCCTATCACGCTTACGATGAGTCATCACTGCTACTGTTCACTCCACATCCTCAGTTATTGTAACTGGTTAGGCATAAAGATAGTTGCCTTGAAGGTGGATTCCACGATAAAGTTGAAGGTTGATAGGGGAACCGTGGGACTGAGTGGAAACACAGGCGGACTCCCTGAAAGTGAGAACCGGCTATTTGCAGGGAGGGACACACCCGTGACGGTCTAGTGTGGCGGTCTTTGTGCCGCTATCGCCTTCCCCCTACTCGCCGGCTGGTTTTAGCCGCCTAGCAAAGAGAGCGATAACGTTGACCTAGGCCAGAACCGATGAAAAATGCCTAGTGCGCAAATCAACGGGCAAAGGGATCCCATTCCTCAGATTGTGGTCTGTTAATTTCCAGCTTTTGCTTCATCCCTGCATCTCTGACCCCTCACCTTGATTTCTAACGGGCTCCCTTTTCATCGTAAACTCTGTTTTCAAGCAAAAAACGCGTATAGACGAAGAGTTATCCCATATTTAACTATGTCTAGGGGAAACGATCTTCTGCTATATTCAGACTTACCCTAGCCTTCAAATGACCAGAAATTGTGCAATTGCAGAGAAGTTGACGTGGCATTGGCACACGTGGCTAAATTCTCGATGAAAAGGTGACATCACGTGTGCTCAAAGATGTTCTTGAATCGATGCCACGTTAATGCCACGTCAATTTCTGCAATTGCACAATTTCTGGTCATTTGAAGGCGAGGGTACCTATAATGCCTTGAACCCCACTCTTTCTTCCAGTGTTATGCGAGATTTCAAAGAATCGGTATGCGGCTGTTGGGTACCCCCCAGGAGGCCCGTCGCGCGGCAAGAAGGCAGAGTCGCGGACGAGTCGCAGCGCGTGAGCGATGTAAGACGTACAATGGAACATTCTATTTAACTTGACGCGAAATCCCTACAGTACGCGCGGAACTCGTCCGCTGACTCGCCTTCTTGTCGCGCGACGGGCCTCCTGGGGGGTACCCGCGGCTGTGATCACTGGAAAGCCCGCTGCCTGACCTTATCGACTTTAAGAAGGCCCAAAAAACTTCTCAATGCACTTCAAATTTTTCGACTTATTCTGTGTTGTAACTAAATCGATAACTATTTATTTACTGTTGTTTGCATCATTTATTGAACATTTAGTTACTATACATAGGTTGTTCATTCGCGGTATAACTGTCAAGATGATGGTACTAATGGTGGAGTGAAAACAAAGCGACGCTTCAAAGAGATACGGTACGTCAACAGCCATAACTGAAAAAAGGAAAAATAAACATGAAGTGTGGAGCTAAGTAGGAATCCTGCACACAGAACTGCAAGCAGGCCTACGTCTGGCACCTCTTTATGTTGTCCTCCTCACCATCTGTTCACACGTCCTTTTGCCCAGTGTGCAGGCTCGTAGTATAACGCTGAACCGCCAAAAAAGGTTACTTGGGGAGTCTTCGGTCGTTTCTTTTTCTTTTATTGTTATCGGTGGCGGTCCATCTAGTGAATATGGTCCCTTAACACAGACGGCCGTTGTGCTGTTTCTAACACATTCTTGAAAGTTTTCTTCTCAAAACCATCACTACCCCTTTAGAAATCCATTTGCATGCATATAAACACTTCCTTCTGGGTCCGTCACTGTAGATTGACAGTTCTAGAACATGGAAAATACCAAATAAATCGGGCAAAATGTAGTCATCCAAGCTAAGGTCTGACGCACAAGCGCGTTCGCTGTGGTTAGTGCGTTGAAACAATTACTCGTATTCTTGTACCGTGGAGAAGGTACTAAAAGGAGCATTCCACAAAGGTCGAGAAGGGTAGCATACCTAGTGGAAAGACGGGCGGACCTCCTAACCGATTCGCAAGTGCAGAGAAGGATATACTCCCTGCGATCTAGCATGGCCCTCCTCGCGGCGCTATCAGTGCGGTATCGGCGCGGTGCGCCTCCCTTTCGCTGTCTGACCCTTTAGCCATTCAGTAGAGAGAACGTAGAGTTGAAGAGGGCAGCACCAATGGGAGTCGCAACCGTAATACGGCAAGGAAGGGGTCCCATTTCTTGGGTTCTGGGCCATTCCTCATGGCTTTTTCTGAATCCCAGCACCACTGACCACCCCTATCCTTATTTCTAGTGAGTTTCCTTCTCCGAAGGATCTGCGTTTCTCGACTTCAGCCTTACTCCCTCTGTTTCTTTTCAAAATCTTTGAAAACAAACCGTCAAAACAACCACAAGAACTCCACTTTCTTCCATTGTGAGGCGATCTCCTCTGGGAATCCCTCCCTGAAAATCTCAACTGCCCCCTGTTCATGAGAAATTTTTAAAAAGGCCACTCTCGTTGAACTTGGTACAAAGAACGGCTGACTCTGCGTGCTAAATTAGTCTGATGCGAATCAATCAATCTTGATGGGATGAAGTCTGCTGAGGGTCTAGGGAGATGGTATCTAGGAACCGATCCGAAGACCACGTATCCTATTGGGACGGCGCCATTTACCTCTCCCTTCAGTCCTTTAGCCATGCTTTCAGAGGAGGGAAATGGCGTCTTCTCGGCGCTCTGTGGCACTATTATTAGCCCAGATGTTATTTGTCGGTGTCTGACATCCGTATATGCCTTTTGTTGATATTGTTCGAAAAACATTCACTGATACTTCTTGCAGCACACTCATCGGAATTATGCCTTATTTGGATTGGGGTATGGTAACAATAACGATACTGTCGTGTATTTCGATGTTGTTCGAGAGCCCATGGCCTACCACCGGTGAAAACCTCGTCATGAATAATCTCTACCTGCAGGTATACTTCCTACATTTATTTTGTGTTTATTTTCTCCTCCATTGCCCGTTAAGAGCTACACAGTCGTTCTTCGATATTTCTTGTTCGTAGGTTTATGTGGATTTCTT